ACCCGGTTCCATTGGATCAACAACAACTGATGGGTCAACTTTAACCAGTAGATCACCCGGTTCCATTGGATCAACTACAACTGGTGGCTCAACTTTAACCAGTAGATCACCCGGTTCCATTGGATCAACAACAACTGATGGGTCAACTTTAACCAGTAGATCACCCGGTTCCATTGGATCAACAACAACTGATGGGTCAACTTTAACCAGTAGATCACCCGGTTCCATTGGATCAACTACAACTGGTAGCTCAACCAGTTTCAAGAAATCTACAACAAGCGGTAGTTCTAAAAAAACAACAGGGTCAACTACTGCTGGAAGTTTGGTTACAACTGATGGATCAGTAACACCTCAAGCAACAACTAGTCCTGGTGATGCAGTTACTACAGCAGCCCCAAGAGTTGTGGGTTTTGCAGCAACCTTGGAAGTAACATTTGTGGAAGAATTTTTTAATCCAAACAGTGCACAATACAAACAACTGGAGACACAGGTTGTGACAGTGGTGAGCACACTTTTTATAAAATCTGAAGTTATCTTTTCATACTATTAGATTTGGAAAAATCTTTCAGTATACTAATTTATTTTTTCTATTGTATTTCTCCTTCACAGTGTGATTTCATCTACAGGAATAAATTTGGATCTCTTTTCATCCGCACATATATCATACGATTCAGGTACGTTTTCAAAACCTAAAGGCATTGTTCAGGATACATTTAATCTTTAATCAAGACTAAATTGTGGGTTTCAATGTGTATGACAAAACACATTTAAACAATTATTAGATTAATCATGTGACTTAAGTATATATGTTTTTATGCAGCCGTGTTGTGGCAAGGACACGTATGGATAATGTTCAAGCAGAGGTGGGACTAGAATTCAACAAAACAGTTTCATCAGACCAAATCCCAAAGGATGATCTTATTATAAAAACCTTAGTACAAGCTGTGAATACACCAAACAACTTCAACCTTACGATTGATGCAAACTCCATTCAAATAACAAGTAAGTAAACAATTGTTTATATGTTGATTGATTCTTTATCTATAAAACATGCATTGAACAGTACTGTTTGGCATAATTACAATTATTTCAAGGTCTGTATTTACCAATTACAATAGCCCTTTATGCATTGAAGAAACACGATTGCTTTGACGCAAATGAGTGGTGGTTATACACATTTTGAGCTAAAACTTATTTGAGTGTTATAACTGTGTTATAGAATCTCCAAATGCAACAACATCTTCACCAACTAAAGCTCCTGCAACTCCAGTTACAACAGCTAAGATTCCTGCAACGACGGCTTCTGTAACAGGCGTCGGTACAACTGCTGAACAACTCACCATACGGAGGCTGACCTTCAGATCTGCTGGAGAGACATTTATGAATGACTTGCTGAATCCATCTTCATCGGCATTTCAAATTAGAGCTACATTGATAAAGCAAACGGTATTTTTTTTTTTTTTATAATAATAATAATGATATATGCATTAACACAGGGGTTCCCAAAGTGGGGGTCCCGACCCCCCGGGGGGTCGCAAGACCCAGAGTGGGGGTCGCGAGATGATTACAAAATAAAAATGGAAAATAAAAAAAATAAAAATGTATACATTTATTTTAATTAATTTTTTTATAATTTAAAAAAATATATATATTATTAATAATAACGTTTGCATAGACATTTTCAGGGGCGGACTAGCCATCTGTATAATTTCCCCGCAACGAGGCTCCCCCTTTGACAATCCACTAGCGCAGTGTTTCTCAAACTTTTTCATACCAAGGACCACTTAACCAAAAAACACTCATGTACCACCTAACTCCACAAATATCCAAAAACAATAGGCCTGCTTACCCATTCCAACAGTATATAACAAATTACAGCCTAATAATGACAGCTTAACCTTCTCTATATCGCCTCGTTCACACATTAAATCAACAATACAAATACAGATTGTATAAGCATTTAGTTCAAATGCGATTTAAAATCTTCTCAGGTTTTACACCTCTTATTATGAAATGTGGACTACATTTATTATGTAGTATTATTTTAAACACGAGTTTATGTCCGAGCCAACAGACTCACAGATTGTTGGCTCCTGAGAGATATGCAAAATACACCGCATGTAGTACGACACAAACCTCCGCTGTGGATTTTCAAAACAAAATACAATAAAACTATGGTCGCAGGCCCAAGTTTAACTCTCTGAGGCCTGCATGGTCTGTCTACAAAACAAAAATGAAAAAAACCTTTATGCAGCCCCAACAACAGCCTCTGATCATCAACAGACTTCATGCAATGCTTCATCAGATGCATATATTAGATAATAATCTCTATCTCACTCCTAACACATCTAAATCTACTTTCAGCATGGATACATGTTCATAAAATACATCCATTGTTTGTTCTATATGCTTCTTGAAATCCTAAAAAACACATCGGGTGAGGGAGGCGCTCGTGAATTGTTTTTACGGAAACAGAGGGGTTTTAGGTTGCCATAAGGCTGTTGACGGTCTTATTATAGGCTGCATCCATTGGTTGGTTTTGTGGCACATTTGTAACGCTGTGCCAACTTGGGCAAGCATCTCACTCAAAAACCCACACGACTCAACCCAGCGAAAAACCAGTCTCGCGCGCAGCCTTTCATTCAGAATTTCATTCAGAATTTCATAGCAAAATAAAAAAAATGATATTAAACTAATCTTTCAACATAGTTTAAAACAAAAATAAATATTAGGACAGAGCCCTACAAATAACAACCATAAACATAATAATAAAATAATTACAATTTTGTATTCAGCCCTGATTAAAACTCCCCCCCCCCGAATCCATGGGCCCCCCATGCACGGCTCGCGGGGTCGGGGGGGCGGGTCGATGTCTGTGCTGAGGGTTAGGTGGCTGCTGCGAGGCAAAGAATAATATGAAATTGAGAATATAAGCCAGGCCAAATGTATTTAAGGAAGAAAAAGTTTAACTAAAATTAAATTGACATGGTTATAGTGCTTAACCTTTGTGGCTCCCACAGAGAATTGCGCAGGCTACTTGTGTTGACTGTGATTCTTGCGGATGAGGATTTGCTATTGGTGTAGCGCCGTTAGTATTGGAAGCCTAATTCCGAGCATATGTCTTTGCCACCAAGTCTGTAAAACATAATTCTTATAATTTTAGGAACAATTACCGCTGGGAAAAATAATAGTTAAAAAAAAAAAAGAATAACAGCCCAAGAGCTCCAATGGTCCTTTGCGGACTTTTTTTCGGGGTTTACTGAATAATAGCACTAAAAGTCAAACATAGATATTGTCTTGTTGTTTTGTTTTGGCTCCAATCCGAGGGCTATAAGCGAGCAAATTCTGAAAAGCGATGCTACAGTAAGCTAAGAGATGGAATCTTTACATTATTATTTAATCGAAAACTAAATGAACATTTCCATTTCCAAAAGAAAAAGAAATGGTCAAGGAAGACGTCAGTTTTCGTCCTTTGTCAGTGACAATTGAATTCAACCGTTGAATCCAGCCTCACCCTCACTATATCCAGAGTCCCAGAATGAGGAGTTACATCTTCAGCACTACATGAAGTCAACAGAAACACACATCTTGTCTGAGAAGTCGGCAAACCAAGACACACCTGGTGCACAGATTGTTCACGGGTGGACAAAGAGGTATTACTGCTTCCAGTCGTGAAGTGAAATATAGAGCCTTTAAATGGAGGCAGGCTTTGAATGTTTAGCTCCCTGGCCCAATCAAACACACACTTAACACACACACTCGTTTCTCCTCAGGCATAATAGAAGAGGAATGTCCTGTGGAAGGTTGTTAGCGACCACCCTGCCCCTGAGCTTTCCTCACACAGACAGGAAGCTCGATCGTATATATTCAGACCTGTAATTCTGATGTCCTGCTCTTGCTGCACTATCTCTGACGCAGACCCCAGAGTAAAAAACCTGAAAAGTATATACGCTTGAATTTAAACCCTGATTGCGTCAGCTTTCTTAAAGCCAAAAGCTTACAGGGATGGAAGACATAATAAGCTCCAAACACGGCACCAGCTACTTGTGACTTTTAAGAAGCGATATCAAAAGGTCAGAACAGACCTGAGGTTGCTGTAAAAAAATGGAAATAAATTGCCCAGAAAATGTTAGGTTGTAAAGCTCATGAAAAACAGGGAAAGTAGTAAATATAAATAAAGCAATTAGGTTATAAGAGAGAATATGAGCCTTTTTGAAAGGATTTAAACAGGATTTGATTCATTAAATAAAACAATAAATGTTACTATCTTCAGTGCAATAAAAGATAGTAACATGCCTACATGTCTTCCAGCTGTTAATTATTAGAATTTGCGAACATTTCCGCATTAAACCAAAGAACCTCATTTTTAACTCTCCCCTCAAAATCGAGTGGTGCAATCTGACTCCAACTAAATTGTCCTGTGAAATATTTACCTTATATATACTCTTAATAAAGCAGTCTATTATAGGAAAACCATGATCGTTCTCACAACATAAATGCAGATCGTACCAAAACGCTTTATTTTAGTCCAGCCAATTGGCTGCCGTGCAATCACACCAACAATAAACACAACACATGTTTGAAAATAATGTCGACAATCACTAAAGATTCGGCCCTAAAGGATCCAACGTGCCCTACTATAATTAAAGGGAAAATCAAACTAAATGACGCTGCAAGCAAACATTTCTCTGCCATCTGAGGTTCCTCCTAATTAGCGTTTGCCATTGTTTCTCCAAGATCACTTGCCCAGACTACAACTAAAATGCTGCTTACTGTGTTGTTTGCGTGTGTGTGGTGTGTGTGTGTTTGTTGTATGTGAGTGTGGTGTGTGGTGTGTAGGTGTGTGTGTGTGTTGTGTGTGTGTTGTGTGTGTGTGTGTGTGTGTGTGGTGTGGTGTGTCGGCCTAGCATTACAATACCGTGTGGGACCTAAATCGTTACACAGTCACGTGTGGGGACTCGCCTCCCTTATGGCGGACAAAATGAGGTCCCCATATCATTAATCATTAATTTTAGGGTGGAAGACTTGCTAGGGTTAGGGTTAGGTAAGGTTAAGGGTAAGGGTTAGGTTAGCAGTGTTGGTTATGTTAATGTTAGTCCCCTGAAGTGATGTTATACATGGTATGTGTGTTGTGTGTGTGTGTGTGTGGTGGTGTGTGTTTGTGTGTGTCGCGAAAAAACACCACCCACACTGAGAAACAAACATGAAAAATGGACCAATATGCATTAAAAAGTGTCATGCTGCTTGCTAATGGGGTGAACTTAAGTCTATCAGGCCAACAGCCAAAATAACCACCACATGGTTCTTAATCTCAGTTTAACAACTGAGAGTAGTTGTATGGTGTGAAGAGAAGTTGTCAATATCCTTCCTGCTCTAAAACTCCTAACTTCTGCACATACCTACACCCCTATATTCTGCATTAATTCTATTCTAGCTGGTGATAAACTATTCTGGCCTCTGATTCTGATCTTAATCTGTGTTCTGAGTTTGCAGTTCCAGTTAAATCCAGCCTCTGTCTGGCACTTACCGTTCTCTGGTGCTGTTACATTTACCTTGTTGAATCTTGGACATCAGATAACCCTACTCTACTATACTGTTTAAATGATTCCTGCCTTACAAAGTTGTAAAACCCAGAAGCTCCGTGTACAACTCTTACTCCAGGAGCCAGTAGCAAAGTGTTATCGCTGCATGCACACAGCGGTACCGGTCTATATACAGACGTGACATTTGGGTTTGGCAGAAACTCCAAGTTGGTGTCAGCTGCCAGACTGCTGCAGAAAAAAGAGCATCTGTAATCAGTCACAGATGACCTCTGTAATGTCAGTAGTGATCTAAAGAGAGAAGAACTTACACTCTATTATCAGAAAGATGAGGTGATTATACAGTAGTTACAGTAGCTGGGAAACTGGAAACTAGATCACATGTTAATCCTATGAAACCCAAACAAAAAACTGAAAAAAACTTAAAATATGTATCTATAACTGGAGCTGAGTAAACTGAGCCTGATCTCTTGCAGGAGAATTGGAAGTTGTGAAGAAACCTTTGCGTATTTGGTCGCTATATGCGTGTCTGTAAAAAGGCTCGGCTGTATCTCAATGGTTGGTTGAAGGAATGGTTTTTGGTTTTTGTAAAATAGGTATGTTATATATATAGTCAAATTATGTAACATATGGATGCAAGTTGAATATATAACATAACTTATGTATCTTTACTCAATATTGGACTAGATGGTATCAATCACACACACACAGCACACCACAACACACACACACAACACAACACACACCACACACACAGCGACCAACACACACACACACAGCACACACACCACAGCACACACACACACACACACATCACACACACACACACACACTACACACACACAACACACACACACACACACACATATTGTTACTATACATGTCAAGGTAATAAAAACACACCCTTATTTCATAAGGATTAATTCTAAAACCCTTCAACAAAAGTCCTGTAATTCCCAACCAGTAAAAACACCAGTCATGTTCACCCACATGACAATCAGCCTGCACCACTGACTGGACAAACTGAAGGACAATACAGCAACCAGGTCATCTCCACAACCACTGCCATTTAGGCGAAGCTTTTACCACTAACGTTTATTGTTCTTGGCACAAACCAATGTTGACTTTATTGTGTTAGTCTGGTTCCCAGTGCACGATGCACAACTGGATCAAAAGTTGTAATCAAAGGTCGTATGAGGCATAACTGTGCCTAATTTAACCGTCACAATGCGCCCAATTTTTGTCTATTTCATTTATTTTGTTAATAGGTGAGTCAAAACTAATTTCAGTCCAACTTTCTGAAACATGTGGAAGAGTACCACTTCTGGTATTAGCATCAGTCTACTTAAGCCTTGTTTTACGAGATTTCCAGAGACGATGCCATTATTAATATTACCTTTTTGGCTTACTTGGGCCTGTTCCAACGTCGCCTTTTTTATGCAGAAGTTGCTGGTCTTGAATACTAATAGTTTTCCATCTGACAAACAGTGACCCAAAGAATGATTCTCCTTTCAATTTCTAAAAGTGACGTCCACCGTGCTTTTCTGAAAAGATAATATGATGCTAGCTGCAGATATTTTTCTCGAGGCGCTGCCACATGCTCGTATTCACTGGAATCAAGTGAAAAGAGATGCTGGCGCTGTGGAAACGGCCGCTAGATGTCCACCTCTATCCCTTCAACCCATAATGGTTGGTGTTTGAGGTTGTTGCCATTAGTTTGATCAGAAATTAGTAAGTTTCTCTGGACTGATGAGTTACATCTTTAGGTCTTATCCATAGTTGTGTGCAATCAAAAGAAGAGACATCTTTCTACTCATCTCTCCCTCTAAAATTCAAACGTGATGAGCAGCAGGTCGTTTCGTGGGCCATAGGAAGTTGTGTCACATTCTTATATATCTTACGTATATTTGATGTTTTCTTTAATAGGAAAATGTGACATCATAAGTTAGTTTCCACCAAAATTTAGAAATAAAGAAAAAAGCAGACGTCTTTTTCTGTTGATACATCAGTAAAACGAGGCAAAGTGCAAATTGTTTTCCGGACCAACCTAGAAAACCATTTAGATGCAATGGTGTTCGAAAACCTTGTGACACCCATGGTGTTGCTTAAAATTATTATATGGTAAATCAATAAAAAGCCATTCATCCATGGAAACTTGCCGCTGGTTCCAGGAAGTAAGTCAACGTGCCAAAGCAGAAACAGGAAGTCACTGGCCACCCAGTCATGTTTCTCTGGGTGACTTTATAGACTATATCATTAGCGTGGTGTGGTGTGTGTGCTTGCTGTGTTGGTGTGTGTGTTGTGGTGTGTGTTGTGTTGTGTGGGTGTGGTGTGGTGTGTGTGTGGTTGTTGTGGGTGTGTGTGTGTGTGTGTGTTTGTGGCGGGGTGTGTGTGTTTATTAATGTGTGTTTTCTGCGTCGCTTTGTGAACTCTGTGTCTGCAAGGAAGAGAATCACATCAGTGAATTTATCTATCTATCTTTATTTTCGTTTTCAAAACACTTTTCTACACAAGCCGTTCCCTGTCTCCTGACTATTGTCTTACATTTGACATAGCTTTAAAATCAGCAACAACACCCAGATGAATTGTTCTGTGGGTCAAGCATTTGGTCGATTTTTGTGTATCTAGAGGCATTTTTCATAAAACTTCCACCACAAACTTGTCAGAGTCCTAACAGTGGTCTTATAGACGTTGATAGGCAAACCCAGCCAAATAAAAGGCCGCAGCTGTCTGTTTCACAATGGTATTATTTTCCTTTCCAACAACCACAGGCTTATCCTGACTGTTTATGAAAGAGCAGATTATCTGGCAAAAAAGATCCAAACTGTGGCCAGTTCTTGTCTAAGCTCTGTCACTAAAACAGAAGCCAAATTAATTGATCACTTGTTAGTAACTGGAAATATTGAGAGCTTGATTTTTCATGAAACTAAAAGGCCCGTTAATTGCTTCTAGTTCTGGGAAAAGTCCTTATCAAAGCAGTTTCACATCTATTAAGTCTTGTCCACTGTCTGCATTATTATTATTTCTTCTCTTATATTTTTCTTATTATATTTCCTGTAAAGTGTAGTCTGCAAGCATGTGTGTTTTCTTCTTATTCTCTATATATATTTTATATTATTGGTTTGTTTTGGTGTGTGTGTGGTTGTTTGTGTTGTTGTTTGTTGTTTGTTGTGTGTGTGTGGGTATTGGTTGTGTGTGTGTTGTGTGTGTGTTGTGTGTGTGTTGTTTGTGTGTGGTGTGTGTTGTGTGTGTGGTTGTGTGTTGGTGTATGTGTGTGTGTGTGGTGGTGGTGTTGTGTGTTTGTGGTTTGTGGTGGTTGTTTGGTGTGTGGTGTTTTTTTTGGGGTGTGTGTATGTGTGTGTGTGTGTGTGTGTGTAGTGTGTGTGTGCTGTGTACATGTATTTGTGTTTTTTTTCAACCTACCACATCAGATCTCTCCCGGGAGCAGCCGGATGACCATGCGAGTGATAGGGATGGTAGCGGTTAACGAGGCGTGACTGAGGGTGGAATGTTCTTCTGAAAGGTGATAGATGGAGCGATTAGGAGGACCACAGAGGCGGAGTGCTGGGTGAAGGAGGAGTATGGCCAGCCGAGGAGCGACCCAGAGTTGAGGCCTATCAGGGCAGTGGGGGGTTAACAAGAAGCTTCAATCTA